CCCGTAGCCTTGGCTCCCCTCAGGGGGTCATGTGGGACCCAGAGTCTGGATGTTACTCGAGGAACTCAGGCATGGGGGCAGTGGCGAGGCACATGCACCTGCGCAAGGGGAACCCACAATAAGAGCCCTCAGCCAAGGGGGTCGGCCTCGCATCCCACCCAGGAGATGTCCTACTGCTCAGAGGGGCCCTGGCCATGTCAGAAGCCCTGGTAGAGGTGGACAAGGGTGTCTCCAGGTAGTTCACTGCCCAAGGCCCGTCCCCTGTCCACCCTCCCCACCTTCTGCGACAGTCCTTGTGCTTTGTCTAGAAGGAAGTTCCCAAATGAAGACACTCACAGTAACATACAGATTTGCAGCAGGGGTTGGAGGCAGCATGGTCTGCTCACTCCCTGGCTCCCACGTGGGCCTCTGCCCTGGTGGCTCCCACTGGTTTTGCTTCTGTCTTAGCTCCCCAACCCAGGAAGGGAGGGGCAAGTGGAGTGTCCCTTCAGGATGGTTTCCCTGCACAGCCTGGACCACTGCAGGGGCAACTCCTCCCACCATGGAGAGCTATGGCTAAGACACTCGCTTGGACCCAGGGCCCTGCAGTGCAGGTCTCTCACATGCAGAGAAAGGTCTCATCCTCCCTGAGCAAGAGCCTCTCCAGAGGGTCCCCAGGTGTGATCTCTGGTGGCTCTGCTTGTTCATAGAGAGAGAAAGGGAGGGCAGAGAGAAAGAGAGGAGAGGGGGAGAGGGAGAGGAAAAGGAAAGAGAGAGTGAAGGAGGAAAGGAGAGAGAGAGAAAAGGAGGGAGGGCAGAAAGGGGGGGAGAGAAGGAGGAGGGAGGGAAGGAGTGGGAGAGGGAGAGAGAGGGAGGAAGGCAGGAAGAAGGAAGGGAGGGAGAGAGGAAAGAAAGTAGGGCAAAAAAGAGTGGGAGAGAGGGAGGGGGAGAGAAAGGAGAAGAGGGAGGGAGAGAGGGAGAGAGAAAGAAGGAGGAAAGGAGAGAGGGAGGAAAGAAGGGAGGGACGAAGAGAGAGGAGGAGGAGATGGGAGGGAGGGGGAGAGAGAGAAGGAGGAGAAAGGGTGAAAGGGGTAGGGAGGGAGGGTAGAAGGAAAGGAGGGAAGGAGGACAGAAAAGAGAAAGAGAGGGAAAGGAGGGAGAGAGAGGGGAGAGGGAGAGAGAGAAGGAAGAAAGGAGAGAGGGAAGAAAGGAAGGAGGGAAGAAGAGAGAGAAAGAGAGGAGGGAGGGAGAGATGGAGGGGGAGAGGGAGAAGGAGAGAGGAGAGAGAAGGAGGAAAGAAGAGAGGGAGAAAAGGGAGGGCAGAAAAGAGGGGGGAGAGAGAGGAGGAGGGAGAGAGGGAAGGGCAGAGGGAGAGGAATAGAGAAGGGAGAAAGGGAGGGAGGGCAAAAGAGAGGGGGAGAAAGGAGAGAACTCCTTTTCTCTGACCCTAGCAATGTCCTCTGGGGCTGTGCTGGTCCCACCAGAACCGAGCTCTGCAGATTCTGGAGCCCATTTCCCTCAAGACCAGTTGTCTGCAGAGCGGGGTAAACAAACCAGAACCCTCATCAATCAGGGAGGTCACTGCCAAGAGCTTTGTGCACTTGCCGTCCCTGGCAGTGATAAACTCATTGCATTTGGGAAACGGCCAAAGACCCTGGGTCCAACCTCAATTTTCATTCCCAGAAAATCCCCACTCCCCAGCCCTGTCGACCGTCTTTGTGTTTCCTGGACGAAGCTGGCCAGGAGGAAGGAACACAGTCCACCAGGCACATCAAAGGCTGTCTTTCTCTGCCTGGGGGAGGAGGCATGGGGAAGGGGGTGGGTTACAGAGCCTGGGCTGTGGGAAAGAGGCCCAGGCCAGGGAGGCTGAAGCCAGGGCCCTGTAGAGGGATTGGAAGACCACAGACATCCCCGGGTATGTTTTCCTCAGCCCTGTGCCTAGATCTGCCATGATGGCTTTGGTGGCCATCCGCTGGAGGGAGGTCAGGGTGAGCAGTGGGGCCGGCCAGGTAAGACTACCTCCTGGCCACCTTCCAAGAGGCCATATTCATCCTCCCTGCTCTCTCCCACTCCCCCACACCTTCCTGGCTTTGTGTCTGACTTTGGCATGGACGTGGTGATGGCAAGCCACATGGCGCTACTGACCACGGGTCCCACAGGGTGGTCACCTGTGTGCTACACTCTCCTCCCACCTGGGCTTGTCTTTGTCACTGTTGATCAGACTGTGCAGCTGCGAGACCAGACCCCCACCCTCATCCCCACAGAATGGGGGACCCGTTTTCCTCTGTCCACCTGGATCTATCTACCTTGATGAGGCCACCGGTCTCACACACACACAGCACCTGGTGTCCATCTTCCTCCTTGTAGTGCCCAGCTCAGCCAGCCCAGTGCATCTCTGGGCAGTGCTCATCTTGCTGGATAGAGCAAGAGAGCCTGTTTGTCTCGCCAAGGCTGCAATCTCCATACCCAACACATATCTGGCACCTGCACGTGCTCAGTAAAGCTTTGCTGAATGATGCTGTGACAAGACCCTGAGAGTCCCTTGTCCTGCTCTGTTATGATTGACAGGTCCCTCTCTTAGTGGACCAGGTTCTCCCACCCACAGAGAGTCTATAGGAGTCAGCAGGGTTAGGTGGAACAAGCCCAGGTCAACAGGCAGTGTGAGGAGGGCTCCCTCAGGCCTGTGGGTGGCAGAGGTGTTGGCGATATGTGCTGGGACTCAGTCCTTGGAGACATCAGGATGAGACTCAAGGATGCATGGCTGGGAGGGGGCTTAGAGAGTCCAGGCATCAGGGTGGGCCTTTGGAGATGACCCCAGGCCCCTGGCTCTTGGGCCAGGCAGAAGAGATGCCTAACGCAGGAAGAAGCGTGAGTCATTTCACGCTGGGCTAGCATTTGTACTAGGATCTAAATGCTAGGACAATTTAAAGGGGCAAAAGGGAAGAGCCCCACAGTGGCCCTCAGTGTGGACCCTGAGTGTGAAAGACAGAGAAGCCATGATGCTGCACTCCTTGGGCTGAGTGGAGTCCTCATTCTCCATCTATGTGGAGATCAGGAGCTGATCCAAGGATAGACAAAAGAGGGGTGGAGCATGGGCCCACTGGATGCTTAGTCCACACAGCATCCAGGGACCAGGGTACACATACACCCAACTAGCGGGGTCTGCACGGGCATCCAGGGACCAGGACACACGTAAGCCCAGCTAGCAGGGTCCATTGGAACATCTGGGAGCCAGGGCACACATAAGTCCAGCTAGTGGGGTCCACACGGGCATCCTGTCATGCAAAAGTCATGCTCCTCCATCCCCCGAGTGCTGCAGCGCACTCAGACCTGGCCACTTGGCTCTCCCTTTCTTTTGTGCTGGGGAGGGAGAATCCTGGTGTCCTCCCACTAGGCACCTTTACAGTGTGCCCCCTGGCTGAGGGAAAGTCCTTACCTCCTCCCGCAGCCTCCCCAGGAGGAGCCCTGAAGGACACGTCCTAAGGGCCAGTCCTGCCTCTCAGCCAAGTGCGTTATCCATGCTGGCCACTCTGTCCCCCCAGCACCAGGGTCTTTGACTTCACAAGGAAGACAAATCCTGCACCAGGCCGGCCACTAACTAAGAGCTCCTCCCTCGCGAGGGCCAGCCTCCTCCTGACAGCTTCCAGGCACAGCCCGGTTTCCTTGTATAAATACCCCTTTGCTCACCAACAAGTTCTCTCTTTTAAGAACTAAGATTGTCCTCCCCCTGGTGAGGACAAGGCTGTGAGAGAGGCACCGCCAGGCCATGGGAATTAGCTGGAGGCCGGGGAGAAATACGAGCCCAAGGCCAGGATGCAGAGACTCCAGAAGGCCTGAAAAAGAGACTCACTAAGCCACTCAGCCTGAATGCCAACTGCAGCCTGGCCTGTCCACCCGCATGCCCGCAACCCAGTTGCCAAAAGGACTTCCAGAACAGGATAGCGGACTCAAATGCACGGGCTGACCAGGCATATCATTGCTGTGGGGGATTTTAGATACACGTTTTATTTTGAGATACTTGTTGACTCACAAGCAGTTGAAAGAAACAACATGGCGAGGTGCCAGTCCCTGAACTCCCCACACAACACCTCCCAAATCTGAACGAAGGTGGGAGACGGCAGCCACGCCCACGTCACAGCTGCGGTGCATGCTGTGGCCACATCCACGTCATGACTGCGATATCATGGCATGGATGTGGCCACA